AATGTGACTATATTTGGAGACAGGGCCTTTAAAGAGGTAATTACGGTGAAATGAGGTCGTTGGGGCGGACCCCAATCCAATAGATAGACAAACACAGAGGGAAAGCCACGTGCGGACAGAGGGAGACGACAGCATCTGCGCTCCCAGGAGAGAGGCCTCGGGAAAACCAACCCTGCTCACACCTTGACCTGGGACTTGCGGCCTCCGGAGTTGTGAGAACAGAGATGTCTGTTGTCTGAGCCGCCCAGCCTGTATCTGTGACAGCTTCCCCAGGACATGGATACAACGTGCCGGGCAGTGATGGCAGGACTGGAAAGGAAGAGACAGATTCCAGAGTCACCGGGGAGACCCGCGTGCCCAGCACATAGCAGGCACCCAACTAATATGTGTTGAGAAAGTTCGGATTCTATGAGGGAGGCCTGAGAGGGAGGAGATGGCCGGGAGGAGCCAGGACACGCCCGCAGGGCCCGGGCAGAGGGTGACGACCTGAGGGCTGTGGACGCCCAGACGCTGCCCGCACTCCAGCCACAGCGCACCTCGTGCCCCGCCTCTGCAAGGGCCCCCTTGCGTATCCCCATTTTACTGAAAAATAACGAGGCTTTGGAGGGTAGTCAGGACTGCCCCAGTGAGAATCAGAGCCGGAGCTGAAGGAGCCCCTCCAGGGCCACCAAGGAGGGCACGTTCCGCAGGACAGGCGGCTGGAAACGCGGGTCTGGAGCTTGGGGGACAGGTGGGGGCCTCTCAGAGCGACGCAGCCTCGCTGTCGCAGAGCAGGTGCAGGTGGGCGAGCGCCCGAGTGGGGACTTGGGATTCTTCGCTTGCATCCGGTCTCATTTCGTGTTGTTTCAAAGGGACTGACTCTCAAAGCGTAGACAAGCTTGGCTTCCAGGACACCCGGAGCAGATGTTCACCAACACCGAAGCAGGCGCTCGCGGCAGTGGGGGTCTCCGGCTACTTCTCCGACTTGTAAAGAAGGGAGTGTGGGAACCAGCTGCATCCGGCCTGTCTGGCGCTGGGAGAGACGTTTCTGGGTCAAGCATTTCCAGCCCATGAACTCCTCATGTTTCAAATTCAGAGGAGGCCTGTGAAGGGCCGGGCTTTATTAACCTTTCATGTCACAGAACTTCCTGCTTCTCAGCCTCCCGTGGAGCACGTCTGCCAGGCCAGGGTTCGGGAGGACGGTCCGATGGATCCAGGTATACAAACGGACCCAAAGGCAGACTGAAGCTCAGCACCCTGGAAGTCGCCTGCTCAAAAAGGGGAAATTTAAACAAAATTTTTGCAAAACACTTTTTGGAATGTCCACGTGGAGCAGCGGGGACAGTGGCAGGTGGCAGGCCTCTCACCCGTTTCCCCTCCACGGACACTAGCATTGGTCTCTCCCAATCGAATCTGCCACAGTGACTCATTTCTCCCGTGCTTCCCCCTCTTCGGAACGTGCCAAACCAAAGTCAGCGATCTTTGAAGTGGAGACTTGTTTATAAATCCAAAGTTTTTTTCTTTTGTGCAAACATTTTTGGGCCTTTACAGATTATTGTTTTAACATTTTCCCTTGAATGTTCACTCCATATTTGGATAAAGCAAGAGATGAGAGGTATTTTAGTGTCTGGTTTTTTTTTTGTAAGAAACCACAGCATCTTGGAGAAAACAACAGGTTCCTGAGCCTAGTCTCTCTCACAAGTGATTCTGGGCTGAGCCTTCGAGATCACCCCTGCTCGCCTCTGATAAACTCCAGGTTCACAAGCAATCGCTGGACAAGAAATGTCAGTCTATAAAAATTCTTGGACTAAAACCCCACCCAGGTCAGAAGTTCCTTATCTCTGGGGCATTTTCTGTGTGCTGAAGATAAAGATCTGCTCACCTGCTCCCGAGAGGCCCTCAAACTGCCCCCCCATTTTACAGAGTGAAAACTGAGGCTCAGAGAAGGCAAGCAGTGCGTTCGTGGCAGAGCACAAAATCTTCTCCCTCAACAATTCTGCAATGAAAAATTTCAAACCTGCAGAAACATTTCAAGCACAGTACAACGAATACCCGCATTTATCTACCAACCGCTAACACGAGGCTACATTCGCTTTCTTCCTTTGTCGTTCTAGACACTTGTTAGTTTCAGAAACTGTGACACTTCACCCACGTTACTCCAGCACCCGTTCCTTTTACGTGGCCAAGCAATTTAACCTTGAATCAATATTATCATCTCATACACACTCCGTAATTCTACTTTCCCTCATTGTCAAACTAACTACAATAGTGTTCGTTACAGGTTGCTTCTTTTTATCCAAGAATTCATCAAAAGTCACCCAGTGCAGTTAATTGTTCCATCTCTTTTATGTCCTTCATTCTATTATACAACAGTTGTCAGCCTTTTGCTTGGTTTCATTTTTGCTTTTGTCTTTCATGACATGGACACTTTCAGATCACCGGGCCAGCTGGTCTGCAGACAGTCCCTCAATTTGGATCTGTCTGCTTGTGTCCTGTGGATTAGATTGAGGTCAAACATTTTGGGCAGGACACTGCAGAGATGACGGTGAGCCCTTCGCAGTGCCATGACACCAGGAAGCACATGAAGTCAGCTTGTCCTGTTACTGAGGACGTTCGGTTTTATCATTTGGTTAAGTTGGTGTCTTCAGATTTCTGCACACCTTGTTCCCTAAAAGTCTCCCACCCTATGGTGTTAGCATCCTCTGAGATGATTCTTTCATGCATCAGCGATTACCATGGTACTTGTCAAATGGGGACTTTTACTTTGTAATTACTTCGATATGTATTAGTTGGTGGTCTTCTTTTATAAAGAATTGTCCTTTCCTCTCTTTTAAAACATCTCTAGGCTGGACGTGGTGGCTCATGGCTGTAATCCTAGCACTCTGGGAGGCCGAGGCGGGAGGATCGCTCAAGGTCAGGAGTTCGAGACCAGCCTGAGCAAGAGCAAGACCTCTGTCTCTACTGAAAAAATAGAAAGAAATTAGCTGGACAATTAAAAATATATAGAAAAAATTAGCCAGGCGTGGTGGCATATGCCTGTAGTCCCAGCTACTCGGGAGGCTAAGGCAGAAAGATTGCTTGAGCCCAGCAGTTTGAAGTTGCCGTGAGCTAGGCTGATGCCACGGCACTCTAGCCCGGGCAACAGAGTGAGAGTCTGTCTCAAAAAATAAATAAATAATAAAACATCTCTAAAGTACCAATAGTGACTCATGGATTTGTATTTTCCTCAAGGGGCTGAATGTGTTACTTCCATTATTTTTTTTGTACTCCAACGTTCCCAGACGTGGCCACGGGGAGCCACTGCAAACTGCTCCGTGCCAGCTCCTCCGACATGTTCCCAGCATCCTTCGAGCCGCTCTTCACGTTCCAGCATGGTAAGACATGAAATGTGTCAGGCTCCTCTGACTTTCCCTGTCCCAGCTCTGGAGTCAGCCATCTCTCTGGGGTCCTGGCGCCTCAGGAGCATGATGTTCAGCCTCTCAGGGTGGTTCCGTCCTCTTTGCAACTGGGCTGTTACTGCTCCCAGGCTCTGTCAGTAGACAGAGGTGGGATGTTGGGTTTTTTTCATAACTAATTAAAAATAAAAACAAAATGCCAGGCATGGTGCCTCATTCCTGTAATCCCAGCACTTTGGGAGGCCGAGGTGGAAGTCTTGCTTGAGGCCAGGAATCCAAGACCAGCCTGGGCAACATAGCAAGACAAAAAATTTTAAGATTACGTGTGGTGGCATGTGCCTGTAGTCCTAGCTACTCAGGAGGCTGAGGTGGGAGGGTAGCTTGAGCCCAGGAATTAAAGGCAGCCATGAGCTATGGGTCTCACCACTGCACTCTAGCCTGGGAGACAGAGTGAGACTCTGCCTCAAACAACAAAAAAAACAGAATTTTTCTTCCTTCATTCCAAATCTCTGCCTCATCCTATAGCGAGAACCTGGGTCTTGGCAACAGCAGTCCTGGGGGCATTGCTTCAGAACTGCTCTCCCTCCCTACTGCCAATAACCCCACTAGTGAGGTCCGGGTTTCTATTACAGGTCTCTTTGTCCTTGGGGTTTCCTCCACCAAGGGGGCACGGCCAGTTCCACAGAAGGCCTAGTTTCATAGTTACTCAGGTGCATTTTTTTTCTTTTCTCTTCTGCAGGTGGGGTTATGTCATCAGTGTCATGCACAGATTCATTGGTTTCTGTTGGTTTTCAATTTTGGTTTTTCCCCATCCTTGTTGACTTACTTCTATTTCTTCAATGTAAAATTTATTTGAGGTGCACTGGGAGGTGTGCACAGATTCCTGAGGCCGGAAAGAGCCCTCTAGTCCAGGTGATGAGCCCATTCCTGTTTTCAAGCGCCCCCTCAGGAGGCAGGTGCTGAAAGCCTGCTCCATCCCTTTTGAAGCAGCCCTGGGCTAGGCAGCAGGACTCCTGGGTTCCACCAGCCTCGGCGTTTCCAGGGAGCCCACGTGCGGCCTGGTGAGTCCCTGCCCTGCCCGGCCTCCCCAGGCCTTGGCCTTGCACCTGTGAACGGAAAGGGTCACGCTGCAGGTCTTCCAACAGCTCCCAGGCCCAGGACTTCATTTTCCCACAATGGCACTTTTACTGGTTAACCCGTTTTGTTTCACAAGAGCCCAGTGAGTGTCTGGCACATGGTAGGGGCTCCCTAAATAGTTGTAGGAACTGGTGTCCCCATTTTACGGTTTGGAAACTGAGGCTCCAAGAGAGGGTGCCTTGCCCCCAAGATCTCATTAGGTGGGAGACGCTGTGAAAGCGCCACGCTGGCCTCAGCACACAGTAGGCTCTTTGGGGAGGGCTTGGGAAGGTCTGCCAGGTCGGATTTGCGCCCAGGGGCAGCGTGTGGGTCAGGGGAGCCCGGGGCGGGGCCGTATGCAAATAGCCGGCGAGGAGGCCGCGGATTGGCCGGCGCGGGCGGGGGCGGGGCCGAGGAGTGCCCAGGGCGGGCAGGTGCAGGCAAGAGAGGCCAGGTGTCCGCTCGCCCGCTGGACCGCCCGCCCCGCGCTCCCGCGGCTCCTCCCGGGCCATGCCTCCGCTCTGGGCGCTGCTGGCCCTCGGCTGCCTGCGGTTTGGCTCGGGTAGGAGGGGATGAGAGGAGGGGGCTGTGCCCAGGGAGGGCGGGCAGCTGTGTCCTGGGGCATGCGCCGCCTGAACCCTGATTCCTGGCATGGGGACCCACATTTTATTATTATTATTATTATTATTTTGAGCGTCCGTGGTCTGAAACATTTTATTATTAATAGTAGCAATAGCCAACAGTAATGAGCTTCCTCTGGTGGGAATCTGAGGGCTCACGGTTGGATACAGCCCTGCTGTGGGTGTTGTGAGAGACCAATACCCAGGGGGCTGCGGGACACCAGAGAAGAGACCAGACCCAGACTCACGGTAATGTCCGAACTGGGGGAGACGGAGGGACATTCCGGTGAGGACCCGCGTGGGCACGTCCATGAGGTGGGAGGCAGCATGGCCTATCCTGGGAACTGCCCCTCCATCAGTGCCCTGGAGCCTGTGGAGGGGTGGGGCTGGGAACCCGGCCAAGGCAGAGCCCAGAACTTCAGGACCTTGCTGCCTTTCCGTAGAGGCTGGACTGTCAGAGGGCGGTGAGGGCTACGGAAGGGCCCCAGCAGGGGAGTGACGGGGACAGATTTGCATGTGGGAGAGCAGAGGGGGCCTGTTACTAGGGTCCAGGTGAAGAGGGTGGGATGGAGGGGGGCTGGGCCAGTGGGGTGGAGAAACGCTTAGGAGGGGCAATGGGGTTCTCGGCGACTGAACGTCTGCAGGGGGAGAGGGCAGCAGTTTGACCAGCGGTTTGACCCGACTGCCCGGTGTCTGGCCAGGATGATCAGGTCGGGGGCAGGGGCACTGCCTGTGTCTGAGACAAGTTCATGAGGTGGCCCTTGGGGAGGGCGAAGCCCAGAGCCTGGCACACAGCAGGTGCTCAGTAACTGCATGCAGATGGGGGGGCAGAGGGTGCCCATGGGCATGGGCAGTTCTGCCAGGGCAGCTCCTGTCCTCATTGCCTCCTCCAGCTGTGAACCTCCAGCCCCAACTGGCCAGTGTGACCTTCGCCACAAACAACCCCACACTCACCACCGTGGCCTTGGAAAAGCCTCTCTGCATGTTTGATAGCTCGGAGGCCCTCACCGGCTCCTATGAGATCCACCTCTACGTCCTGGTCGACTCGGGTAAGGGTCCTGCTCCCCTTGACGGCTCCAAAAGCGGCTTTGACCTCTCCACAGGGAGGAGGCAGATAGAGGGATGCTCCGTCCTTGTAGTAGTTTAATTAAACTGCCCCATTCTCTTTACCAACATGCTCTGGCATCCACTCTGGGCCAGCCCTGGGCTGGCTGCTGTGGTCACAGCCCTTACCCTAGAAGGGCATCCAGTCTAGTGGGGAAATAATAACAGCGCCAATCACAGAGCACCTACATCATATCAGGCGCTGTGCACACCCTAGAGCTAATATCTGCACGGTAGCTCTTACCAACCCCCCTTACAGAGCAGGGAACCTGGGATCAGAGAGGTGGATACGCACTGGAGCTCCCAGAGCTGGAGAGTGAGCCCTCGGCTCTCTGGTCCTCAAGCCCAAGTCCTTCCCGAGGCTTCCCAGGGTGGTTCAAGCTCAGTGTTTGTGAGGCGGAGGCAAGCATTCAGACCTGCTCAGACCTGCTCGCGCGGCCCAGCCCTTCACCCCTCCACTGGTGGGGATACCAGGCTTCCGAGAGAAAGAGCCCAGTGACGACTTTTACTTTTCTAGCAACCAGCTGTTTACAACAGCTCATTCAGTGTCATTATTCTTTCAGCAAACATTTAGTGACCGCCTACCTGTGCCCAATCTGTGGGCATTGCAGGGTAGTCCTTTCCCACTTCACGGAAGAGAAGTTGAGTCCAGAGAGGTGGAGCGAGTTGTCCAAGATCACCCATCTAGTGGGGCCAGACCTGGGACCCGACATAGGTCTATCGTCCTCCACGCTATTTCCCCTGCACCATGTGACCCTCCTTTCCCGTTTTGCAGCAGAGAGAATCCAGGGCTTTCAGCAACGAGGCGACACAGGTCCGTTGGGGTGGGGGATTACAGGAATGCGGCAGTGGGAGACCCAGACAGCGCCCGAAGCAAGGGAGGTGACCGCCGTCCATCTCCCCCATTGCGCTGGGAGAACAGACTGAGAGACTGAGCTTGCCCGGTGCCTGTGACCCCAGTGCCCAGCACAGGGCTGGGGCAGAGAGGACGCTCAGGGGTGTTTGATGAATGACTGAGCGAGTGATGCTGGAGTAGCCAGAAACCTCACTCCTGGCACTGCCTCTGCAGCCGGCTCCAGGAACGCCTCCGTGCAGGACGGCACCAAGACCCCACTGAGCTCCACGTTCCAGCAAACGGAGGGCGGGAGGACAGGCCCCTACAAAGCTGCGGCCTTTGACCTCAGCCCCTGCAGTGACCTGCCCAGCCTGGATGCCGTTGGGGATGTGTCCCAGGCCTCGCAGATCCTGGATGCATACCTGGTCAGGGTGGGTGCCAACTCGACCTGCCTGTGGGACCCTAACTTCCAGGGCCTTTGCAACGCACCCCTGTCGGGGGCCACGGAGTACAGGTGGGTGTGAGTGGCTGTGGGAGAGAGTGGGGAGCAGGCAGTGGGGGCAAGGCGGGAGCAGCTGCATGTCTTGGGAGCTTAAGTGCTGGGACTTTCCCAGGTCCCAGGCAGGGCCGGCTTCCGGGGCGTGCGACTGTGAGGAGCCCAATTTTCATTTTGCACTGGGCCCCATACGGGATGCATCTGGTCCTCGCCCATCACATGTGTGGAGGTCACCCAGCCAGACCCTTTCAATTCACAGGGAGGGAAACTGGTCCAGAGGGGGAAGGCTGCCTAGAGAAAGCTGTGGCTCAGCATGAGCTAGAGCCCGTCGAAGGCCTTTCCACCCACAACCTCATCCTCGGCTCTGTCCTTCCTCCTTCCAGCCCTTCCACTGCCCACCCCACCCCAGCACGTCCCTGATTCATTTCCAGAGCATCTTCTCTGTATGAGCTCAGGGCTTAGAGTGCCTGGTGCCAAAGCCTCGAGATACACCTGCTCCGGTTACCATGGAGATGCCTAGGGTGGGGTCTGTGCAGCATCCCAGACCCTTTTGGGGCTCTGACCATTGCCCACCGGCCCCAGGGAAGGCTCACCCTTCCCTGGGTCTCAGCCACTAGGACAAGGTCCCTGCTCCCTGCAGGACAAGGTCCCTGCTCCCTCCCCAACCCCTTACCTCTGACCGTGTTTTTAACAAAGGGAAAGCTCTCTCTCCTCCTCGACCTGAAAGGCAGCCCTCTCTCACTTCATCTACAAGCCCATCCTGCCTAGAGGACAGCCCAGCCTCTGGAATTCTCATCTTGAAATAGAGAGAAGTACAGGATTAAGCAAAACACTCTTTTAAAAGAGATTTTAAGAGTTTTAATTTTTTTAAAGTGTTAAACTGCAGGCTGTAAACTTCTTAGTCCTCAGAACATCCATCACTTTAAACCGACGGTGTATGAGACCTTAAGCAGGCTGTAGATGTTTTGTGCTGTATTGCCGGATCTTCTTTTCTGCACTTAAAATGTAGCTCTTGTCTAAGGGCAGCAAGGTTGGTGATGAATATTATTCCAGGTTATTTTTTTAAAGTTCCGTTCGAGATGCCGAGAACCAGGCTTGGAGCAGTGGAAGGCAGAAATGCCAGGAGGACAAATGCATTAATAGACAGCAAATATGCTACATGAAACAGAGGGGCCTCCTACAGGGAGCACCTAGAAGAGGGCGCTGTCTCTGGAGGCTTCGTGGTGGAGGCGGCATCTAAACTGGGGAAGGGCCCAGGGGGTCATGTGTGGCCATGATGCAGCACTGTCCTGTTGCCCAGAGCCCACCCAGTGGCTGTCTACCTTTCCATCTCCTGGAAGGTCCCCTGCTGCGTCCCGCCACCAGGCCATCCTACACCTCCCACCTCCCTGTGGCTGGGGCTCGCAGGAAGGATGGAATGACCCTCGCTCCATCTCTTTCCAGGTTCAAGTACGTCCTCGTCAATATGTCCACGGGCTTGGTACAGGACCAGACCCTGTGGTCGGACCCCATCCGCACCAAGTGGCGTGAGTGTTTTGGGACTGGGGGGATCCTCAAGGGCCAGGCGGGGCCGTGAGAACGGTGTTCATGCTGTCTCTCCGGCGCTCACGCTGTCTCTGAGCAGGAATGCCTTCCCGGGTTCGGGCAGCCCTCTGGGGCCATGAGTAAAAGGCACCTTAAAGTAGTTTAACCTGGAACTTCCTCCTTCCTTGCTTCAGCCCTGGAGGGCCAGGTGTTGAAACAGATCCCGGTGGAGGACTTTGTGGGGTTTGGGCCGGGTGGCAGGTGTAACTGAAGTCAAAGCCAGCGAGCGGCCTTTCCAACCCTCAGATGTGTCGGCCTCCAGGGGTACATAGCTTGGACCTCTATGACCAAGTGAGATGGTTCCAGGGGCCTGAGACTAAGACAGAGGAGTCAGCAAGAGAACCACACACCCTCCCCACCCCGCCTCTTCTCCGTGGCACCGGGATGGCTTTCTTGATGGAGCAAGGGCTGGGAGGGCAGCAGAGCGGCCCAGGGTCCTGCCCTGTTCCTTTCCAGACACCATCTGCAGTTCTCAGCAGAGATCCGAGGTTTAGGCACACAGAATCATGTCTACTGAATGTCAGGGGCCGCATGAGGGACTTAGAATTTTGACTGTATAAGATCCTAACTCAGGACTCCCCTCCCGCCACAGCTAGGCCCCCAAGACTGCCTGGTAGGATGGGCCAGCACGGAGCTGAGCATTTCACCTGCAGATTCCGAAAGGTTGCCTGGGGTCGCACGCTGGTGGGTGGGGTAAAGCAGTGTGTGAGTGCACGTGAGAATGAGTGTGTGGCGTGGGGTGTGCGTCAGCATGAGTGTGACAGTGTATGGCAGGGGGACGCCTCCCATCCTCACTCCCTCACTCCCTGGGAATGCCCTCCCCTCCCGTGGCATTCCCAGGAATCGTGGTGTTGCCGAAACAGCCTTGGGACCCTTGGGACCGAGGGTCCTCACTCCCGTGTGAGCCCCTCGGGTCCTTAGTTTCCTCACCTGAGAAGCTGGGAGAAGAGTTCTCGCTGGGCCGCCCAGCAGGGTTCCTTTGGGGAACCCAGGCAGAAGCACCAGGCCCCGCTCTCTTGGAGGACCTAAGGGCCAGTCTTGGGACAGTGTGCACCTCGGGACCAGGCTGGCCTTGAGCCTGGATTCTGCATGTCCCTAGACGGGCTCAGTGTCCCGTGAGTGCAGTGAGTGATCTGCAGGATGGGGACTTGGGGGACCTGCACAGGACAGCAGCCACACAGGTGGCTGTAGCAGGACCCATAAAGTGTTCGTGTAGCTCCAGAAGGGTGACATCAGCCCCAAAGAGCAAGAGCCACAGTGCCCCTGGCCCCGTTAGATCAGGGCCCTGTGTCTTGTCTTTATTTTAGTTGTTTGTACTCTGCTTCCCATCCATCTCACCAGAAGACTTGAGTCAGTTTATAATTTAAAAATATTCGGGCCGGGCGCGGTGGCTCACGCCTGTAATCCTAGCTCTCTGGGAGGCCGAGGCGGGCAGATTGTTTGAGCTCAGGAGTTCGAGACCAGCCTGAGCAAGAGCGAGACCCCGTCTCTACTAAAAATAGAAAGAAATTAATCGGACAACTAAAAATATATAGAAAAAATTAGCCGGGCATGGTGGCGCATGCCTGTAGTCCCAGCTACTCGGGAGGCTGAGGCAGGAGGATCGCTTGAGCCCAGGAGTTTGAGGTTGCTGTGAGCTAGGCTGACGCCACGGCACTCTAGCCGGGGCAACACAGTGAGACTCTGTCTCAAAAAAAAAAAAACACAAATAGTAGATGACGTTAGCTACCAAAAGACTTTACCTGATTGGACCTGGGAGCAGTCAGAACACGCTTATGTCCTTCCCTTCCTTTGGGCAGTGTCCTGATCTGGCATCCCAGGCCCTGTACTCTGAATTCGGCCTGCTCTTCCCTTTATCCCTCCTGATGCCTCCACCTTGATCTGGCTGCAGTTGCAGCGACCTTCCCACTTTTCCCCAGACACTCTTCAGCCCTGCCTGCCTCACACCTGCTGACCTCACCCGCGTGCTTCCCTCTGCCCCTGACACTTCTCCTTTAGGACCAGACTAGCTGCCTCCTCTTCCAGGAAGCCTTCCTGCGGCTCCCGCCTGTGCCTGTCCATTCCGTGTGGTCATTGTCTATTGTGGTCTGTCTCCTCGTACAATCTTGGCTGTTTGGGGACATGGGACAATGGCCTCAAATTGTCCAGCTCACAGTAAGATCTATAAACTGTTCACATAGTTTCAAGAGGGTGACATTTTCTTTATTCCCAGGGCCTGGCCCAGGGTAAGTGCCAGAAAGATTGGTTGACTGAATGAATGCCTGAGACAACTGTCTGTAAAAGCAATGTCTAAGCCTTAAGGCCACAACCAGCTCTAGCAGTTTGGGTTTGCTCTGCCGTCTAATCCTGGCTCTCTCCATCCCGTTGGCCAGGGACATGGGGAGTTCTGACGGGGAAACGACGCACGACTCCCAGATCACTCAGGAGGCTGTCCCCAAATCGCTGGGGACCTCGGAGCCTTCCTACACGTCCGTGAACCGGGGGCCGCCCCTGGACAGGGCTGAGGTGTATTCCACCAAGCTCCAGGACTGAGCTGAGCACCACCCCGGCGGCAGCCTCTTCCCGCCTGGCCTGTTCACGCCCTGATGGACGGTGAAACCGGGTGTGTTGCCAACTGCAGGAAAACTCTTTAATAAAATCTTCCCGAGAGTTCGAGTTTAATAGCAGTTTGCAGAATGAATGACTGAGAAGGTGAATGGATGAATGAGTTGATATCATATTGAGGGCTTGGATTATTTTTCTAGAAGGTAAGGGCAGGGGACTAATTTTCAGTGAAGGCCACAGAGGTGAGAGCTGCATCCAAATATGTGAGTTGCTTGAGCCGTGCCCCCGAAGTCTCGATCTCCGCATCTGTAAAATGGGCTGGTGGAAAGGGTTCGTTTCCAAGGCCGTGCACGCCTGGGTTCCTCCGTGACTTTCCCTGAGGACTTTCCCTGGACTACGGGGAAGAGCTGGCCCCTCCTGGTCCTCAGTGAGCTCCCAGTCCAGCCAGACGACAAGGACTGAGTGGGTCAAACATGACCCATGGCAACACAGACACCATGGTGGGCGGAGCTGCAGGGCAGGACACTGAAGAACTTGCTGACAGATTGGCTGTGGGGGAGGAGGGAGAAGGGAATCGGTTTGACTTCTGGGTTTGGGGCCAGGGCCACTGTGTGTGGCAGTGCCCTCAGCCAAAATGGCGACCAGCAGTTGGAGGAAATCGAGAATCTGGGGTTAGTTAAACGTGAGCTGCTTATGGTGTATGGTATAGAGCTGAGTAGTGGGCAATGGCATATCCGGTCCCAGAGCTCAGGGGGAGGAAGGGGCTGCAGACAGCAGCGCTGGAGGTATCGGAGGGGCAGCTGCACTGTTGCTCCACAGAGCCACGTAGGCTGGGTTCCCCGCAGCTGATCCGAGTCAGAACACCCCGCGGTCCTCCCAGAACACAGGTTTGTGAGTTGCTGCCTCAAGGCCCTGTCCCCAGCCTCCCATCCTCCCTGGAGGCTGCCACAAGACAGTTTGTCTTGGCCCCGGGCCCTGGTGAGGTCTGAGGCTCCTGCCTCACCCTCCCCTTGGGGCACAGCTGCAGGGGCTCTGCCTCGGGGTGTCCCGCTGCTCATGCCGTGGGTCTGGCCCCTTTTATTCCGCGTCATCCTACGAGATAAGGATGCGGGGAGCCGGTATCTTTGATCTTTCTTTTGCTGTCTGTGTCTATTAAGGATACTGTTTTTGGTTTTTGTTTTTGAAAAGCCAGCTGAATCCGTTAGCCTTGCCTTGCTAGTCAGGTCACAGCCCTGGGTCTGGCTGAGATCACGAAAGGCCAAGGGCCGAGGGGACAGAGAAGGCGATGGACACAGCCCCGTTAGCATCTGGGCAGGGATGGAGGGACAGCCAAGGAGGCAAGGGGCAAACTCACTGGAAAGTCCCTCTGTGGCCGCAGCCCTGTCTTCTGGCATCTGTTCCTTTCCTCGGCAC